TCGGTCGGATGGTTTCAAACAGTGGTATGCATAAAGTGGTGCAAATGCTTTTACTTTATCTCCGAATCTCCGTCTCTTTTTGATGCATTGAAGCTGGATATGTTAAAAAACTCAATCATAAGCATAGGCTCGTGTTTTATGCATATGACCCAATATCTATAACGGTCAACGGACATACATAGGTAAAAACATTTTTGTGTTCTATATACATATACATACATATAGATACGTAGATTGACATTTACAGAGAATAATGAAACCCAAGGAATTTAATGGAAAAGTGAATACAGCCAAAGATTATCAACAATACCGACAAATAACGTGCAAAAAGGTTAAAACCGAGTTACTTGGAATATTTATCTACCAATAAAATACCTGGGTATCAGGTACAAAACGGACCCCAAGAAGCTGTGCAAATGATGAATGTCAAATACATAAATTATACATGAGCCACAGTAACGCCAAAATTAAAAATTTCTATCAAAAAATGTTCTCAAACTGATAAAAACACTTTAGAAATTCACAGGAAATACGAGGAAAATACAGTCTCTTATGAACGTCAAGTTTGTTATGCCGCGGCGCCATCTTGTACGTCAAACATCAAATCGCCCTCTCATCTCACTTATTGGTAGGTATTTGATAAACAGATAGAAAACAGGGTAACCAACTCAGGAAGATACCAGATAAAATAGTTACCTATTATGGTATGTAAAACGTTATCACTGACGTTCTTTGGTAAAGGTAAATAGCTATTTCAACATTTTTAATAATCGCGATTTACTCGAAAACTGTGATAGTTAGGTATAGGATATTATAGAGCTTCTCGTAGAATTTGGAAATTTAATAATAATATTGCTGGTGATCCATTTGAAATATAAAGAAGTTACTGACATTTCCGGTCAAACCGGAAGTCAATTGTTTTTATGCTGAAAATCGATATCGATTTTCATGCCTAAGATAGAGCTTGGTAAGTAATCACGTGGTCACTCAGTATATAGCCAGCAATGAACTATAAACTATACGTATCTGGAATAACATCGACCTTTGTCGGATATGGCATCTGTATGGCATTTGTCTCTCTAAGTGCGTCCAAAAATAGCTATACCGGGTGTTTTTCAAAACCCGCTCACCCCTATAACTTTTTTATTTTTTCAAATAAACAAATGAAATTTGGTGTGTTTATTTATGACCCGGATGCGCATTATTTGATGTATTCAATTTTTTACTATCACTTCCGGTTTGACCGGATGTGACCCTATTTTCCTTATTTTAAATGAGACGCCAGGTAAATTTTTCCTCATTTCAATAGAAAACTACATTACGAGTACAATGACACCTCATTTGTCACTTTTTGACAGCCATACCCCTAATAACACAGTAACATCGCAGAAACATTCCAGAAACATCCATCAGGGATAATGAAGACGTCCCTGGGAGGTCCCTATTTTCCTGGGGACATCCCTGGGATGTTGCAGGCAACAGCCGTGTCATCATTTGCGATGTCCTATAAACATCTCTCAGGGATGTTTCTAAGATGACGCGGGATGTACCTAATACATCCGGGGCAGGTGTAAGAAACATCCTCTATATGTTTCTAGTATGACTTTAATAGGTGAATGAATTTTAGGATTATGGATTAAAAATTACCTAATTCAATAATTTTCAATTTTCGTTCTATTTTCTGGAAGTCAGATAGAACTTTTTCCAAAAAAAAAACAAAAATTGAAAATTATAAAATTAAGTAGGCACATCAGTTTCCAATAACATTTTTTATTGAAAAAATAAGGTACATGCATACTTATATTGATTATCTATCAACTAATAATAACCGACGGACAATTTTGCCTAAATAATGTAGTATTTATTACCCGTCATGTCATCGAGAACCATAGTTTGGCAGTGGCAGCATGTTGTAGTGGGGGAGTTCGGCGTTTTCTTTTTTTTTTGGTGCTCCAATTTCATAAAGGTACCATTAACTAACCAAAACAACCACAGAACCAAAATCCAAAGTTCTTGAAGTACGATTCAACTTGCACACCTAGAATGTAATCAACTATGAAAACAAAAAATAATTATTGGTTATTTTCTCTTACCTAATGAAGAATGAAGTTCGGGTTTTTAGGGGCTATTTATCAGAAAAGTTAGAAATTTCCTAACCGACGCCATATTGAAATTAAATAAACTAAACAATTGATTGTTATGCGACGTTATCTTTCAACAAATAATCTTTCTCACCAACTAATAAGCACTGGTAGGTCGCAGAGATCCTTTCGAACACAAAATGGCACAACTAGGTGTAGCGAAAGACCACAAATTGACAAATCCTCCACACAGCACGACGCCATTAAGAAATAAAATTCCGCCCAACAACACAAGCGAAGCACACAGAACAACCCGTTCGACTGATTCTGCCCGTCTGCGCTGGCTGCGGCGCCGACGTGGCCGCGTGCAGAGGTACAAGTACAAATGCCCGAGCACGCGCCTGCGCCATACACTTCGGCTTCACGAATATTCACGATGTTTGAAAGTTGAAAAGAGAGAAGACTTTTATCAATACATATTTTATTTTATTCCAAGTTGAATGAAAAATTAAATTTTGCTGTTGTTACAATACAAAATTAATATTAAGTTCCTTATCTATATACATTACAGGTATATTATGGAATTTGAAATTAGTTTGTGTGTGTGCTAGAGACATTTTCAGAAATCACACAAAATTGGCAAATTTAATACTGGGTCCTACCGGTCTGAGGTCCTACCTAGTTTTGTAAAATAATGTTAGCCATTTAGCTGTAATACTTAAGTATCTAATTTTGAGAACAAAAAATCTTTTTGTCGATAGATATTTTCGAAAGGACGTTTCTAAAACATTTCAGGACAATCATCCTAGAGATGTTACATTACAAACATCGCAGCGATGTACCATTTATGTCGGAAACATAAGGACCTTAATGGTACATAAATAGGATGTTTCTGGGAGATCGGTGTTATTAGGGACCCTTTCCATTTGAAAAAACTGATATAATTCTAAAAATGCGCTTCTACCTACTATCTTTAAATGAGTCTGTAGAGGATATAAAATACAAAATAAGATCAAAACAAATTTTCCCATGTTCCTAGGAGCAAAATTAAGCATTTTGACTTATTCATGGTGCTCTAGATTTAAAAGTAAAAATTTAAATAATTTGGTGATGAAATGTCAAAAAGTGACAAATGAGGTGTCATTGTACTCGTAATGTAGTTTTCTATTAAAATGAGGAAAAATATACCTAGCGTCTCATTTAAAATAAGAAAGTTAGGGTCACTTCCGGTAAAACCGGAAGTGATAGTAAAAAATTAAATACGTCAAATAATGCACATCCGGGTCATAAATAAACACACCAAATTTCATTTGTTTATCTGGAAAACTAAAAAAGTTATAGGGGTGAGCGGGTTTTGAAAAACACCTGGGCTGGAACTCTGTAACGGATAGAGATCGTTATCCCTATCGCTATGGCACTTGCTGTCTTTTTTTCTCTTTTCGAAATCAACAGGAAGAGGAGGTCAAAAGAGATAGAGAAAATATCTCTATTCGTTACAGAGTCCCACCCCTGGATACCTTTCTCTCTTTAGTCATTGCTGTTAGTTTTTAGACAAGGAAAGATTTCCATAATTCACCCATAGGGTAAATAGAGATAGGTATCCCCCACATTCTCTATCTCAATTTGGTCAATTTTATAGATCGGCGGGCCGTTCTAGGTACGTGTAGTTTATAGTTCATTGATAGCCAGGGATATCAAAATCACATAAATTACATTGAATAAAGTTTCTCAAGCCACGTTGACACGGTCCAAGTGCACCTGGATGAGAACTTGGACTAAGTAAATTGGCCGCAAGCCTAGTTACTTGGATGCTATCCAACCTAGACTTGGATACAGTTGATACGATCTAAAGTATCGTCCAAGCAGGCAAGTGAGGCGCGCATTTTCCAAGGGTACTTATTCCAAGTACATTTGGATCGTGTCAACCTGGGTTTATTATTAAATTCGATCTTATTAAAGGATTTGAAAATATTTGCAATATCCATACCAACTGTCATTATAGGGTCTTCTTGTGTTTTACTTGAGCCGCTTTCCAGCTGCACACAATCGAGCTTTTGCGCGCGCAAATGCTTCAAGCGCGTGTTCGTGTTCCAGCCGTACTGCGCTTCGAGAGCTGCTAACTTTTGCGTTTCAACCACAGAACACTGTGCTACACCGTGCTTCAAACACACAGCTGGATAGCGGCTTTGGTGGATCCGTCTTGAAACACTGAGCGCTCAGAGCATCTTTCATCTTTTTCCTTTTGATGAGAAGAACAGGGTTAAAAAAACAATATAGCAGCTGAGAGCGAAATTTACCATGACATCACAAAATTATAGGAAAATATCATAGCCATCTTTGATTCACGTTTTTTTCCGTTATAATTCGCATCTTAATTAGAAAACAATCGGATGTGTCAAATTCATTATTGGAACACGTAAAATTCAGCAGACGGAACTATCTAAAATCAACATGAAATATCGATAAGCATTTTCGTTTCAAAATTAAATGCATATCGATATTTCAAAAAAAAAAAAAGACGATGTATCTCCGCCATCTCTATCCCCCTACTCGAATGACAATTAACGTCAAATTTTCGAAAAAATCCCCCAGTCTCGAAACCCGAAAACTATACACACCGCCTACCCCAGTTTCGACAACAAGAGTAGGGGGTCCATGCACGAACTTAAAAATGCCGCCGAGGGCCGTCGAATCGATACGAGGCTAGCGGGTCACGTGGTGCCCGCTCCGACCAATTCCCGCTCCGCACACACCGACCGTACAATTTCGCCTCAACCGAAGCGAGTTCAACTTTTCACAATAGCAGTCAGTTCGTTTCCGACTTTCGCCGCGTCGCTTTAGTGTCAGTGCCGTAGAAAAACTCACGTTGATTTTACGTGACGCGATGTGGATATAAAAAGTTTCAAAATTATAATAATCATGATGGAAGATCCGACGCAATTGGTTTATACGGAACTACCGCTATCGATGCTGAGTACCAGCGCGCTGCTTCGCAGCCATCAAGTGAGATTCCAGCCGTACCACCGATTGCACCAACCGCAGTTTTTTCCTACGAATATGCGACAGCACCAACACCACCATCATCACGACTATTTGGCGTTGCACCAAAGGAACTTGGAACGGCTACAACAGGACACCGACCAGGAAATCGAGAGCGCTCTAGATATAACCAAACCGCACGTATCGTGTCTTTATCCCGAAATCCTGACAATTATTTTCAGTTATTTGGATGTTAGAGATAAGGGTAGAGCAGCACAGGTGTGCACCACCTGGCGAGACGCGGCTTATAGGAAATCGGTTTGGAGAGGGGTAGAAGCAAAACTTCATCTGCGTAGAGCAAATCCTTCGTTATTTGCCTCTTTAGTTAAACGCGGAATTAAACGAGTACAAGTTTTGTCATTACGAAGAAGTCTTCGCGACGTCATCCATGGCATACCAAATCTAGAGTCTCTTAACTTAAGTGGCTGCTACAATGTTGCTGACATAGGAATTTCGTTGGCTCTAACGACAGAAGTCGACTCGCTTACTCAATTGAACTTGTCTTTGTGCAAACAAGTAACGGATAATTCTTTAAGCCGGATAGCGCAGTACTTGAAGAACCTAGAAACTCTCGAATTGGGTGGCTGTAGCAACATTACAAACACTGGTTTAGTTTTAATAGCTTGGGGCTTGAAAAAGTTAAAAAAGCTAAATTTACGCTCCTGCTGGCACATAAGCGATCAAGGTATAGGACACCTTGCTTTAGGCAACCAATCCTTGGAACATTTAGGCCTGCAAGACTGCCAAAGACTATCGGATGAAGCCTTAAAGCATGCCACAGGCTTAACATCACTTAAATCCTTGAATTTAAGCTTTTGCATAAGCATAACGGACAGCGGTTTGAAACACATAGCCAAAATGCCCAACCTTCGTGAATTAAACTTGAGATCTTGTGATAATATTTCGGACATTGGTATGGCGTATTTGGCCGAAGGCGGCACCCGGATTACCTCTTTGGACGTGTCGTTTTGTGATAAAATCGGTGATCAGGCTTTAGTGCACATATCTCAGGGGTTGTTCAATCTGAAAAGTTTATCCTTGAGTGCATGCCAGATCAGTGACGAGGGTTTAGGCAAAATCAGCAGTACCCTGCACGAATTGGAAACTTTAAACATCGGACAGTGTTCTAGGATAACGGATAACGGGATAACGACGCTGGCCGAGTCGTTAACCAGGTTGAGGTTTATAGACCTTTACGGGTGCACCCGGATTACTCCGGTGGGACTTAATATGGTGATGAAGTTGCCCAACCTTAGCATTATGAATTTGGGCTTGTGGCACGTTAGGTGAAACTAATTTTTTTTTATTAATAATTAATCAAAAATCAAACTTTAGTTAAGTAATTTTTTTTAGGCCTTATTTTATAGTTTCAAAGTTAACCGATTTAACTTTAAACTGTACAACTAAGGTGAAGGTTCTTATAGGTTGCCTGTAATAGCTGAGTTTAATTATTGTTGCTCACGTTTTTTTTTTTTTTTTTCTGTTGAATGAGCGAGATAAGCAACTGTTACGAAGCAAATTTTGTTGGTGAATTAAATCGGCTTTATGTGTTATCAACTTATTTTTTGCTGTTTTCACAATTATTATTAAAGATTTTAAGCTCTTACATAAATTGCTCGTTTGTGTTGAGTTTTTTGAATGGGCGATATGAGCAAAAATTATGTTTTGCATTATAATTTATCAAATTTGAATTTAAACTTTCAAAACAATTACTGAAAAATATTAATTATTATTTCTTATATATACAGGGTGATTTACTAAGCGTGGTGATCCATATCTCCTAATAGTGATGATACAAAGTTATGTTTTTTTAAATAACTTTCCCTGTATTGACATTAATGGATTCTGTAGAGAATTTCATACATCTGTCAAAACTGGCATTCCAACAATAAATTGACATGTTTTGATTGTTGATTTGAACCAATCAGATTGTAATTATGCGATAATTTGCACTAGTGCAAATTATCAGATAATTGCATACTAACTGGTGCGAAAACTGGTGTTTTGACATTTTTTGACAAAAAATTTAAATTTTTGATTTATGAAATTCTCTCATTAAATACAACTCGTGCAATGGAAATATATTTATAATTTTCGACAAATTTGCACTCATGCGTTTTTAAAATGCATTCGGGCAAATTTCCCAAAAATTATCAATAATTTCCATTGCACTAGTTATATTACTAATGAAAATTCTAGACATATTTCACGTACAATGTCATATACCAACTGTTTCGGAAATATTGACATTTTAAAATTGACTTTTTTGCATCTTTGACAGACTGTAAAACCTATACCGTTGATTTTACAGCAAAACCGATTTTACCTTCTTATCCTAGATATTCATAAGCCATTTTGACACCAACTTTGAATTTAACCGGGGATTAATAATATAGAAAACTAAGACAAGAATGTGTGATCGGTTTTGCTGTAAAATTGAGTTTCTATAGGTTTTATAGTCTGTCAAAGATGCAAAAAAAGTCAATTTTCAACTGTCAATATTTCCAAAACAGTTGAAGATAGGTATATGACATTCCTCGTGTTGCTAAATTCACCAAAATAGTGCACCGCCACGGATGCAGTGATCAAAATTCACCAATGCCAATGCCAAACCACTGCTTGGCAAACCCTGGTTAATTTAACAACACTGCTTGTTCTACCATTCCACCACGGTGCCTACACCAGCTGAATTTAGCCACACGCGGATTGTACATGAAATATGTCTAGAATTTTCCACAGAATCCAAAAATGTCATAATATACAGGGAGATTCATTTTAAAAAAAAATTGTAGAAAAAACTTTGTCACCATTACTTATTGAGCCACCCTGAATACTGGAAAATAATTTGAGAATGTAGTACTTATGTTTATCTACAAATTTTTCAAGTTTTTTCTTCGATCTCCGTTAGTAGGTATAGGAGATATGAACCACCGCGCTCTTAGTAACTCACCCTGTATAGGTAACTCTTCTAATTTTTCATAACTCTGTTGGATAATGTGATGTGTCAATTGTGTCATACTCCCCTAACTCCCCCACCATCAAATTCTAGGATACTCGAGGATCAAGAACACTTTATTTCTTCTGTGAGAACAGACCGAAAATCACCTTTCCTACATTTAAAATCGACGAAAAAATTAGCACAGCCTGAATCGCAAGCATTCCATCGAGGTCTGCGGGTGACGTCATCACTTAGGCACTGCTGCTAGTGACGTCACTCGCAGGCCCAGAATTTGATGGAGAGGGAGTTAGGGCCAGACGAGTATGACACAGCACATAACCCAGCATAATCAGATTATGCTTAGGCCTTTTCGTAAATGGTGATCCGATTAACCGGATCACCAGCTGATGTACTTTGTCTTTTTTCAATCGTGTTTATCAAAGAAATATATAAAACAAACAGCTGGTGATCGGGTTATTCGGATCACCGTTTCCGAAAAGGCGTCTTGATCATCCTCGCCAAAAATTGCCTACTATTTTCTTTTATTTGAAGTTTGGATCATCTTTTAAATGTCAAATGACACATTAAGTCAAAATTTCTATATTAGGTCTGTTCCAACGCGTCAGAAACCGTTTCATGAACGGTTCCGAAGCCACTCTGTATACGAATTTCGGATTCTACGCACAAATAGGCTTTACGCAAAATCGTGACGGTTTGCTGATGTGTTGGAACAAAGCTATTGACGCTTTTGCATAGTTTCATCCAAAAGTACGAGCCGTATTTTATTATTATTTTCTGAAAATACAAGTTTTATTTTGCTATTTTCTGAAAATTCAAGTTTGCAGTACATTTTTGATTTTAATATTCTGGGATTTTTTCATATTATCAACATTGAAAATGTTTTTGTTATCAGTATGGGGGCCCAAATCGCGAAAAAGTGCATGCCACATGACGTCACATCATCAATCAAAATCTATTTTTATCGCAATCTGAATCACATAGGTAAACTTTGCATTTCTCCTCATCATTTTTCGAGTCATTTTTAAATGTCCCCCCCGATCTTTGCGGAAGACTGTGAATATTTTTTATTTTTTATTAGAAATTTTCCTATTTTCGATCTATGTTTAATCCGAGGTATTTTCGATATGTTGTCCATATTTTCTATTTTACACTGTTGGCTTATCCACTTGCAGTCCACTTCCAAGGTTTAGTCGTAGTGTTGCGATCTAGATTTCTGCTTTCCTAAAACGGTCGGTTTATTCATCTCCTGATAAACTGTCAGGTATGCAATCTGACGGATAAAACCGCAATCTTTTGGTTAGGGTACTTCCAAAAATACGAGTTCTTTTGTTGATATTTTCCTAGTTATTTTCCTTATTTTCTAAATTTTTCAGTGTGGGTCAAATAATGCATTTTTTTGACTTTTCCAATATGGAAATACAGGATCATAATTTTAATATTTTCTGGAAATATGAGTCAAATTTTCCAAATTTCTGTTCTATTTCCTTGATGTCAGATAGGTATTTTCTCATTTGTATTTTGCGTAGTTATTTTTCTGGTATATGTATTTAGCGAGGTATTTAGTATTTTCGATTTTCGGTATTTTCTGTATTTTGCGGTGTTGCTATATCTTAACCCAAAGCCTTTGTTCGCAGTTTCGCTATTGGCGGTTTTTCTATTTTCATTAAATTTGCTTTATTTTTCCGGGATCCGCGATGTATTCGCCGAATTTTGTGAATCTTCTCTATTTTACAATGATGTCCAACATTTGGTCACGGTGTTGCATACTACATTTTCAGTGTTTATATTATATTTTTTCTACAAACGTCACTAAAAGTGTCATTTTTAACGGATGCTGTCAGTGTCTAAAATGCCATTGTATGATACTGGTGTTAAAAGTGACAAAAGCACTTGTAGTGCGTTTGTAGAAAAAATAGTGCATGATATTCGTGCTAAAAGTGATTTTATTTTGTTCAAAGAGATGGAACTCTCCGCCTTCGGCGTTGTGTCCTAAACTTCACTTTTCACAAAATAAAATGTCACTTTTAGCACTTATATCATAAATAACTATTCCATGATATATTTTTGGAATTTCCGTATTATTTTGCTTTCTCGCATTTTTTTCTGTATTTTTCTTGTATTTTTTTCTGAGCTCATACCCCAATTAGGCACTAGCTGACGTCACATACAGTACCTCACTTTTGATGGGAGGACAAACAAAGCGTTTAAGTACTATTTACACACATTCATCAATTAGGCGTTAGCTATTATGTCACAAATCACATAACGTAACTTTCGATAGGGGGACATTGAGATAAAATAACGATATTGGATATTTACAGCCGTATGCAACATCATGTTTTAATTTAAAACTTGTCACCACAGAACTATTAATAATTTGCATTTTGGTGGTTTGACGTTTTGTTGTCGTTTCAATATGGCTTCGTGGGAATAAAACACCTGACAACCGTAAAGGCACATTTACATTCAATTCTCATCCAAATTGCAATCGACTGGAATTGAATGTAAAAGGCACCTTCACGGTCGTTAAGTTTGTTATGACCACGTCGCCATCTTGAATTATCAGTGGATTCGAATTCAATAATACATATTTTTAAAATTGACAGCGTTCAAAGTCGCTTTTAAAGTTCGAATAGAATGTTGCTTACGGCTGTTTATACATTGTACATTTATTTACGTACTTTGTGTAAATAGTCCTTGAACGCTTTGTTTGTCCCCCCATCGAAAGTGAGGTTAGGTGTGTGACGTCCGCTGCCTCAACCGACGTCAGTTACTGCCTAATTTCAGCAACGAATTCAAACGTCAAAATATAACAAAAATTAGGTATATGCAACGTTGCAACCTAAAGCCCCTTTCACAGGTAGAAAAATATTGGAATTTTAATGGAAAAAAAAATAGTGAATGTTGTATTACGTTTGGGCCGAGGTTTGGTCTGGAGACGACGAATACAAGATACAAGTGACGAAACAAAAATATGATAATGAATTGAAGTTGTAATGGCATGTAATATTGGAAGTTGAGTTGTATAAGGCGCTTTTGCCGCTTTTATACTTGGAGCTTTTTAAATTGTGGCGCGTGAATCACCGAGTGTAATTTTAACCTCAAAAGTTCAATCTGGCGTGCGGTTTTTGTTTTGAAAGCAGAACCACACGTCAAACAAAAACTTTGGATGGTAAAATTATGCTCGGTTATTTACGCGCCACAATTTAAAAAGCTCCAAATACAGAAGCGCCCTCTATAACGGCCCCATGCATCAAATTTTTTTATTGCTGACTTCGATAGTCCATGAAAAATAAGTCAACACGTGTTTTTTCTTTTTCTTGTTAGTTAA